AGCGCACACCTTTAATCCCAGCACTCAGGAGGCAGAGGCAGGCGGATCTCTGTGAGTTCAAGGTCAGCCTGATCTACATAGCCAGTTCCAGGCCAGCTGAGGCTACAGAGACACCCTATTTCAAAAAGACCAAAATAATAATAATAAATAAATAAATAAATATTTTTTAAAAAGACCTGTGGGGTGAACAAACCTAGAAGACTTATGCTGTGGATAATAAGTGGGACACACAGGGCAAATCCCACCTCCCTACACAAGGAGGACATTGCCTCTTTTGGGGCGGAGAGGGTGGTGACTGTGAGGGGCTGGTGCGCGGGTAGGAGAGTGGTTAAATGGCACGGATTTGCAAACTGGGTCTGGACACTGAAGCAAGAGGATTGTTTAAGCTGAGGAGTTATAGGCCAGCCTGGACTACATAGTGAGACACTATCTCAATTTAAAAAGACCTTGAGTGATGGCTCAGTGGATAAAGTGCTTGACTTGTAAGCAGGAAGACCTGAGTTTTTGGTGGTTTTTGGTGGTGGTGGTTTGGTTACTTTAGTTTTTTGGGTTTTTTTAAATATTTTATTTATTTTTATTTTATGTGTATGCCTGTATTGCCTGCATGTAGGTAAGTGCACCTGTGTTGTGCAAGGCCCGCAGAGGACAGACGGAGCTGTCGGATCCCCTGGAACTGGAGTTACGGACAGTTGTTAGCTGCCATGTGGGTGCTGGTATTCGAACCCGGGTCTTCTGCAAGAACAGCCAGTGTTCTTAACCGCTGAGCCATCTCTCCAGTCCCTACTTTAGTTTCTTTTTGAAACAGGATCTTGCTATGTAGCCCTGACTGCTCTGGAATTTTCTATGTAGACCAGGCTGGCCTTGAACTCAGAGAGATCCACCTGCCTCTACCTCCCAAGTGCTGGGATTAAAGGTATGCACCACCATGCCTGACTGTTGTTTTGTATTTTTGAGATATGTAGCCCTCAAACTTGCTATGTAGTTTAGCATGACCTTGAACTCCTGATTCTGCCTCTGTCTGCCAAGCACTAGGATTATAGGCATATGCCACCATACCAAGTTTAATGTGATGCTGGAGGATCTAGCCCAGGGCTTTGTGCATGCTAGGCAAACACTCTTATCAATTGAGCTACATTCCTAGCCCAGACCGAAGTTTTGATCCCCAGCACCCATGTAAAAAGTCATGTGTGGCGTGTGTGTCTGTAACCCTAGCACTGGGAGCAGTTGGAAAGATCCCTGGCATTCACTACCAAGCCAGTCTAATCAGTGAGTTCCAATTCAGTAGGAGATCCCATCTCAAAAACTAAGGTGAAGAGTGATAGAGGACACTCAGTATGGAGCTCTGGCCTCCACACACATGCTCACACGCCAGCATACACACACATACAAAACTTTAAGAAAATTAATTTGGGGGGCAGAAGAGATGGCTCAGTGGTTAAGGGCACTTGCTGTTTGGGCAGAGGACCCGGTTGGTTACCAGCATCCACCCACATGGTGGCTCACAACCTCCTGTAACTGCAGCTTCATGGAATCTGGATTCCCTCTTCTGGTCTCTTTATACATGATATATACTCACACACACACACACACACACACACACACACACACATACACACATGCACATAAATTTTAAAAAATAATTTTCTTAAAAAGGCTTGAGGTATGGCTCAGTGCTTGCCTATCACAAACTTGTTAAAACTTTTTCTGCTAACAGCCTCTTTCACCTGAGAAAATTTGAGATGACCCCAGGCATATGGGTCCCAATTCAAATACTGGCTGATAATAAACCATGAAGGAATTTTAAAACAGTTCTTTGGTATACATGTAATTTTACCCTTGCAGGTAAAAGCAAGTCTACATACTAATGAAGTGGACATGGTTGCCTTTTATTTTTTTATTTTTATGTGTATGAGTGTTTTGCCTGCATGTAAGTGCACCATGTGTATGCAGTGCCTGTGGAGACCAGAAGAGGGCGACTGATTTCCCTGGAACTGGAGTTATGGACAATTGTTAGCCACCATGTGGATGCTGGGAACTGAACCCAGGTCCTCTGCAAGAGCAGCCAGTGCTCTTAACTACTGAGTCATCTCTCCAGCCCTGCTTGCTTATTTTTGATTGAATTTAGTACCACAGGACATACAGCCCTCAAGGTTGATCAGTGCTTTGATTTTATAATCATAAGTGCTAAGAACACCATCTCACATGAACACATGAAAATGGCAGAAGTATGTTCAGGGCCATTTTGGAACTTGCTAGAAATTCTGTCCTAATCCTAAGCCAAAATTCATTCAACGATTTTTTTTTTTTAATGAAACTCAAGTCAGCAACTCAAACAGCAATTTAAAAAATCAAACTACACAATACAGTAGTCCAAAGACATACTAATTTGATACTTATATGCCAAGGAACAGTGGTAGGAAAATATTAAAAGATTTTGTTTTTCATAATTAAGCGATCATGTTTTTATAAATGCAAAAAACTTTGCAAGTTCAGTTAAAAAAAAAAAAAAGACACTGCATTGCTACAGCAGTGAGCCTAGTGCCATCCATGGTCATAGGCATTGCATGAGGTGGCAGTGCGGACTGTGAGGTACCACACCATGCCATGCACTCAGAACCCAGCATGCAGCTGCCACAGGTGCAGCACAGGTAAGCACTACTAGAGATGCTTAAGGTTCATTGTGTATTTGACTCAAACTAATTTTTGGTTCTTGTGTGATCAGATATTCTTCCCTGTTGGCAAATTTTTCGAGAGCCCCTGTTCAGTAACATGACCCAGTATGAGATGGCAACCCACAGTTTAGGAAGTTGTGGTCTAGTATGAAGGGCCCTGGGCTCCATCCTCAGCACTGCAGAAGCAGGCCTAGTGGCAGAGGCATATCACCTCAGCCTTAAGAGAGCTCCATGAAAGGGCTGGGGATATAATTCTCAGGGATATCTTGCCCAGTATACACAAGGCCCTAAATTCAGTTCCTAGGATTGCAAAAACAACCACCACTACTAGGTGATGCTGGACACATGTGTATCTGTGGTTTCACAGTAGGGATGCTGAGGCGGAGTGTCAGGACAGCCTAAGCAGCATAGGAAAATAAACTGAAGCCCAACATTGTGGTTGAAGTAGGCACATTGCAGGGCCTGCCTAGGATACACAGCAAGTACAAGGCAAGCCTGGGCAACTTAGTGAGACTCTGTCTCAAAAACTGAAAAGCAGACTGGGACTGTAGCAGTGGAGCACCATGGCACCACATGAGCCTGGCTCTAAGAACGATCGCAGAACTACCAAAGGATAAAATGGAGCTAGGAGTGGTGGCACAGGTTTGCAATCCCATTCAGAAAGCTGAGGCAGGATGATTGCTGTGATTTTGAGGCCACCCTGGGCTACTTAGATCTGTCACAAAGAAACCAGTCAATTAAGTTAAAATGACCCTGTAAATTAATCTACTGGATATACATCAGTGGTTTGGGGGCTGGGGTGCAGATCACTGGAAAAGTGATGGCCTGTGTTCGGGAGCCATGAGTTCCATCTGTGGCACCAGAAGGAAAAAGTGATTTAAATGTTTTAAATTGTCACCATTTTTCAAAACACAAAGATCCCTCTGGCTGCAGGGAGACTGGAGTTCTGGGAGCAGAATGGGCTAGTAGGGACAGACAGACCCAGGACCCATTCCTGAGCTGTACTGGAGTGAGGAGGAGGCCTCGAGGGTCCAGGTTTGGGTCTGGAGGGTGGCTGCCACTGGTGGATTGGAGGTCCTGCTAGAGTGCACAGGGTAGACCTTGTACTACAGACAGCATCTAAGACAATGAGATAGATGGGGTCCTCTTGGGGTCCCCACAGCAAGGGTGCAGCCTTTGGGGGGGGGACCCTCATGTTCCTTCCCATCATGTTGTGGCTTTACCACTTGGTACGTTCTATGCTCCCCTCCACCTTGCATGTGAAGATTGATGCTCAGTAGGTTAGTAGAATCCTGTAGGTTAACTGCCCTGAGGCAGCAGGACTAGGGAAATGGTAGAGTGTGGAGCTGGCCCTAGATTGTTTGAAGGTGACACAGAGCCACATGGGGCCGTAACAGCGCTTCCTGACTACAGTGGTTTCATCTCTTCCTGCCTCTAAAGCTAGCACAGCTAGAAAGAAAGCTCTGGAAGAGGCAGGTGAGGAGTGTCAGGACTGTAGATGGGAAATGGAGGTATGTGTCAAGGAGCACCCACCCCCAGTATAAAAATGGCCAGCACTCTCTGGGGGCCCTTTCTAAAGAATGAATTTCTAGGATGCTGCTGGTGAGGCTAATGGCTCTGGATTGGGGCTGCCCTGGAGAACTGGGCTGTGAATATCACAAGAGCAGAGGGTAGGGAGGGGCGTGGGTGTGCAGACTCCATGAATCTACAGGACCCGAGCCATCAAGGGCAGGAAGACAAAGCAGGTTAGAACTGAGGGCTCCATCCTGAGAGGAGCTCATGGCAGGGGACCCCATCCACACCCCTTCCTAGGACTCCTCCTGCCCAGCCTGCCTGTCTCCAACTCACCCTGAGGGTCCCCTGGAAGAGAAAGAGAGGACCCGAGAGGCCCTGGGTCCCTGGTCCCTGATCAATGGCGCCAGCCAGCTGGATTCTAATTAGCTGCTGGAGCAGAGAGACAGGAAGCAGGGGCTGCAGCAGGTTTGGATTCCTGCCTAAGGCTGGAGTCCGGCCGAGGGGCCTGGGTCTTGTACCCAGAAAGATTCCCGTTGTGGGTTGAGGATGCTCCGTGGTGGAGAAGAGTGGATAGGGGAAGAGTTTAGGGATGAGGCTGAAGCAGCTTTGGTGAAGGTGTGCTCTTGGCAGCCATGCTGACCAAATGAGCTGCTCCCAGGGAGGTTCCATGGGGAAGAGGGACCGGAGCTGCTGAGAGATGCACACCAAGGTACAGAAGGTCCAGGTGGGGTCTATCTCCAGCAGGAGACAGACCTTTCCTCTGGGCTGGCTGAGGTTGGCCCCTGCCCTGCCTTATCTCCTGTCCTCTCCCAGGCTGGTGGGCCAAGCTGTGGCACCCTGGTGATGCGGGGCAAGGCCCCTCGCACAGTCCACTGAGAGCCCTGAACACACCTCTGGCTGTCACCATGGCCCGCCTGGCTGCAGCACTCTGGAGTCTCTGTGTCACCACGGTCCTGGTGACTTCAGCCACACAAGGTAGGTGTTGCAGGGGCTGGGTAGGTGGATGGGTGACATGAATTCCCTGTGGAAATCACAGCCCCCATCTTCCCTAGATGAGGCTAGACCAGGCCAGGGGGAGCCTGGTGATATCACCCCAGCTGACACTACTGAGGGGGCCTAAACTAAACTAGGTGCTGGCTGTCTCACTGGGGACCCCCTACAACCAAGACACACCTTCCTAGGGGCAACTGTTTCTCTCTCTCTCTCTCTCTCTCTCTCTCTCTCTCTCTCTCTCTAATTACATCTCCAAGGCTCACTGGGACGAAGGCTTAATTAAAGCAGCCCGCTGACGTTTATTTAAAAACAACTAATTACCCGGCTTGGCCTGATGCTGGCCCGGGATCCTGCACACGCCACAATTAATGCCCCAAGCCTGCTTGCCCACCCTCAAAATTACTTAATTACCATCACCATGGTGGGTCCAGCCAGGCACAGGGCCATAGAGGCGAAGAGGGGGCCTTGCCTACCCCCTGGGAGGTGCCCCTGCCTGCATTGCTAGCCTTGTGTGAAGGCTGCTGACCATGGAGTCTGCCACTAGGACCCCCTTCCTGCCAGCCCAGTTGTTTTGGGAAGTCACAGGGATGGAGGGGACGTTTTCAGCCTTGCTCTGGAGCCTTGGAAGGGTCCTACCAGCCAGTGACCCAGGTTCCCTAGCATCCAAGTTCTGGGCCCAGCCCCCTGTTGGGCTAGGAGGGGCTGCCTCCACCCCCAGCCTCCCTCCCGGCCTGGGGAGGCTAAAATTAGAGGAGGAAGCAGATGGTGTGACAGGCGCACATGGGAAAATTTTTCCCAACTGGGGCTCTGCTCACCCCAAAAAACCCTAAGGGACTGGCTGCCATAACCCCCAGAGGACTTGGCCAGTATTGGATGGACCCCATCTCTGAAGAAGGCTCTGTTCCTGCAGTATAGCACTTAGCCTGTTCCCAGCTGTGGTTTCCCCCTCTGTACCTCTGTAGCCTGTTCCTCTGTCACCCCATGAGGCTGCGATCAGTGTCCCAGGGTGGCTGCCAGGGTTACCTGACACATGCCAACTGCAGTTCTTAGACGATAACAAAAAACAAGCACCCTGTCACCACAGGGTTCAAACATTAACCTCCAATTAATGGCTGGAAGTGGGAACTCTTCTCACTGCTCCTCAGGATGGGATCACAAGGCAGAGACCCACTGGGTGACCTGGGGCCACCAGCCAGGCCAGGGAGCCCCAGCACTGGGGCTTTGAGCTGTGCTGTGTGGCTTCTGACAGTTTGGTCCAAGACACCACTGGGAGCCTGCCCTGCCCAGAGCGTCTGTCATGGGGACACCCTCCCATAATGCTGTTCCTTTATGGGCACTGCCCTCATCACTTTCTTCACTGTCGTTCCCTAGGCCAGGTGTGGTACCACACTCCTGTGATGTCAGCATGTGGGGGCAGAGGCAGGATGATCAGGCCAGCCTTGGCTACTTACTCTTTGAGGCCACCTGGAATATGTAAGCCTGTTTCAAAGCACCAAACCAAACAAAAATTTTCTTGGTCTGGAATCTCTGCTCTCTGAACCTGGCTCATCTTACAGGTTGGGAAACTGGGGTCTAGGAAAGCTTCTGCTAGTGACTACCTGAACTTAAGCCTAGAAAATGTCAAGCATGGCTGCATATGCTTGTAATCCTAGCACTTGTGGAAGTTGGGCGAGATCCCGAGTTTCAGGCCAGGCTGGACTGCACAGCAAGACCCTGTGTCAAAACCAAATAAATGAAGCAAGCACACAGGCATAGCTCAGTGGTAAAGTAACTGCCTGCCATAGGTGAGGCCCTGGGTTCAAGTCCCAGTATTGTATAATGAATAAACAAACTTAAGCACGCCTCAGACTCTTCTGGTAGATGCAAAGCTTGAAGGCTCCTGGCTCCTGTTCTGATGTGTCAGGTCCAACACGGGGTCTGTGGGCCATAGTACCTGCTCTGTCAACTTGGAAGTGGCAACACCAGCCTCTGTAGTGTTTTTTAAAAACAGAAGTACCGTGCTGGGTGTGGTAGTGCCCGCCTTTAATCCCAGCACTTGGGAGGCAGAGGCAGGTGGATCTCTGTGAGTTTCAGGCCAGCCTGGTCTACATAGTGAGTTCCAGGCCAGCTTGGGCTACAGGGAGACACTGTCTCAAAGAAACAAAAAACAAACAAACAAACAAACAAGTACCTGGGCCTGGAGAGATGGCTCACCGGTTAAGAGCATTGACTGCTCTTGCAGAGGACCCGGGTCCCATTCCCAGCACCCACATGGTGGCTATGAACTGTCCTTAACTCCAGTTCCAGGGGAATCCAACACCCTCTTCTGACCTCCTCGGCATTGCACAACACGGGTGCACTCACATACATGCAGGCAATACACTCATACACATCAAATAAATAAATAAAATATTAAACAAAAAAAGAAACAGCTATTGTGTTTTTTTTTTTTTAAAAAAAAAAAAAAACACAAGTACCTTCCAGAGCTTTCTCCATTCTGTGTGGTGTGGTAGTAGGAGGCCCCCAGGACCACCCTCACTTCTGACACCAAATACAAGCTCAGTGATGCACTCAAAGGGCCCACAACACCCACTAGAAGCCGCTGTACTCAGTGTTGGCTTATTGCAGTAGGAAGACAAACTCCATCAAGCGGAAGGCACATGGGGCAGAATCCAGAAAAAGTTCTATACACAATTTCTCTACTGTGTCACCATGTCCTGCTGTCCCCAGCCTCAACTGATGCTCCCCATGCAGATTGGGTTAGTCACCTGCATGGCAGCCAGCCCCTTCAGAGGCTTGCAGGCAGTGCATTCTCCCCGTATTGACACATGGTCTTCCCTGGGTACACAGTGTGTTGGGTCCCCCCTTTTGTAGTGGAGCGTGGTGACATGAACCTGATGGCCTAGCTACTCAAGAGGCTGAGGCAAGAGGATCAATTTCAATATCAACAAGCCATTGTCACAAAATAAAAGGTGAACAAAGGGCTGGGATATAACTTAGTGGTAGAATGTGCCTGGGGTATGTAAGACCTTGGTTCTATTTCTAGTACTACAGCAACAGCAAAAATATACTCACTCTTGCTTTTTGTAAGGGCCCAATCATACTCTGATAGCCTCATTTTAACTTGATCACTACTATAAAGACCCCATCTCCAAGCTGTCATCTCAGCACATGTGAGGCTGAGGCTGGGTTCTAAGATTGCTCTAAGTTTGAGGCCAGCCTGGGCTACACAGTATGTTCAAGGTTAGCATGGGATACATTGAGACCCTGTTTTGGACTGGGAGTGGGGAAAAGACACTGGGCATGGTGATACATTCCTGTAATTCTAACACATGAGAGGTCGGGGCAGGAGGATTGGCAGTTTGAGGCTAAGCTTAGGCTACATGAGACCCTGCCTCAGGGGAAAAAAAAAAAGACACTATCTTCAAATGCAGTCACTTTCTGAGGTGCTTAGTACTCTAACATAAGAATTTGGGGGGACGGGACCAGTGAGATGGCTTAGGCAGGTTAAGCTGTTTGCCAACAAGCCTAACAAACAACTTGAGTTCAATCCCCAGCATCCACATGGTGGAAGAAGAAAACCAATTCCTGTAAGTTGTCTTCTGACCTCCATATATGCACCTCCCCTAATCCCCCACCCAGATATATACATTTTTTTAAAGTTCTTGTAAAAAGAATTTAGGAGAGGGGCGTTTGCTGGAGAGGTGGCTCAGTGATTAGAGCACTCACTGATGGCTCAGCCGTCCATAACTCCAGTTCCAGGGGATCCAGTGCTCTCCTCTGACCTCTGCAGGCAATACACTCATACGCATAAAAAATAAAATATTTTTTTGCCGGGCGTGGTGGTGCACACCTTTAATCCCAGGCAGAGGCAGGCAGATCTCTGTGAGTTCCAGGCCAGCCTGGTCTCCATAGCAAATCCAGGCCAGCTGGGGCTACAGGGAGACCCTGTCTCAAAAAGACCAAAAAAAATTTTTTTTAATAAATAAATATTAAATAATAATTTTGGGGACACACAAACTGTCTGGCTGGCCCACAATCCCCAGGTCAGCGTTCATGCTTTCTTACCAGGCAGGACCAACTCTCTCTAGGCCAGGCTGCCAACCCCGCTATACAGGGTCTATACCTAAATGCCATTTTACAGCCTAAAAAGTCTGAGGTTCATATAGCTGGCTTCCAGCTGAACTTGAGGCAGCACCCCTGGGGTAGACAACAGGCTCTCCCTGGCACCTGCGGCAGTGTCCCCTCCCCTTCCTCTGCAGGCCTGAGCCGGGCTGGGCTCCCATTTGGGTTGATGCGCCGGGAGCTAGCCTGCGAAGGTTACCCCATCGAGCTGCGGTGCCCAGGCAGTGACGTCATCATGGTGGAGAATGCAAACTACGGGCGCACAGATGACAAGATCTGTGATGCAGATCCTTTCCAGATGGAGAATGTGCAGTGCTACCTGCCTGATGCCTTTAAGATCATGTCCCAGAGGTGAGCCCGCTCTCTCACTTGTATGCAGCCCACAGGGGTTCCCTCTGCAGACAGCAAGTGAGTGACACCCCCTCCCCCAGGCCAACTCCTCCCCACAGACACTGGTCCATTCCTCTTGCCACCCACCTGCCACCTCCAGGAGCTTGTTCCAAGACCCATGGGGACAGGTGAGAGCTTGAAAAATCAAAGCAAGAGTCTCGGGGAAAGGAGAGGGCTTCCCTAAGGAGGGACCTCTAACTCACAGGCCATAAATGGCAGAGGAGAGAGCACTTTGGCATGTAAAACTGGCCTTGTGCATGTGAGTGGGTGTTGGGACGGCAACTGCAGAGTGTGACTGCATGTCAGAGCATGTGTGCACAAATGTGTCACTTGTGTTTGTGTCTGTGAACAGGTGTGTGGGTGTGGAGGAGAGTGTGCTTGTGGGGCTGTCAGGAGGTGTCCCAGGGTGGAGCACCCCACCAGCAAAGCTATATAACCCACAGCCACCTGAGAACACCTGAGCCAGATCCCATCCTCTGCTCAGAACCCTCTGGGGTTCCCACATTCCTTGGCAAAAGCCAGACCCTTCCCGAGGCTCATTGTGCCAAGTGACCTGCCTTGTCCACTGTCCCTCCCCTCCTTCACACTACCTCTTCACTCAGGTCCAGCCATGTCAGGTGACCTACCCAGGGCCCCTCTGGGCCTTGGCCATTCCTTCTGCCTAGACTGATGTCCCCTAACTGAATACTTCTGCATACCTGCATACTATAAAACTGCAGGCCCCTCTCCACTTCCTGACCCCCTTCCATACCCTCTCTCCTGACCTTACCCTCCACCCACTTCTCCATTGGCTAGTTTTTCTTTGGATGGAGTTTACCTTATGTCCTCCCCACAGGGACAACAGACTTTCCCTCCCCCTTGTGGCCAGGTACATAACAAGTACTCACTGAATGCTCAATGCCTAAGGTTAGAGTTCAGGGCCTGGACCTAGGAAGAGATGAGGGAGAAAAGTCTGGGAGCAGCCCATTGTGGGAGGTGAGGGTAGGCACCAAGAGCCTCTTGGGCTGTGGGGCAAAGTCAGGTGAGTGACAAGTGTGCTGGGCTCAAGCTGTCTTGTTCTCTGCCGCATTTCCTGACGCCTCATCCAGCCTCCCAGCCTTGGCTTAAGCTGTGCCTCCTTCCTTGGGAGACCTTAGCTCCTTTTCCAATCTCCTTGGCAGCTCAGAGAGTATGGCTTCTGTGCCTACCTCCATGCATGAGGCTGAGCATTGTGGTTACTGGGACCAAGGAGCATGATGAGACCTCTGAGAAGGGCCTCAGCCATGCTTCGCCCCTGGTGCCCCACTTTGAAGTTCTCTGTATCTGACAGGGTTGCAGCTAAGCTGCTTTGACAGATGTCCCAGGCCCAAACTAGATACAGATGGGGATTGACCACACCCTCCCAAACCTTCCCTATATCTCTGCTTCCAGCACTGAGAGCTCCACCCCTTAAAGACAGGCCATGCTCACTCTCACCTCACTGGTGAGAGCTTGATCACAGGCCCTTCCAGCTCCAGAGGAACCTGGGGTACAGAGCATTCATTTGGGGAGCTAGGGATGGAACTCAGGGCCTTGTACATGCTAGGTGTAGTTCTCACTGAGGTACACTCCCACTCCTGAAATTAACCACTCTAAAGTGAAGCTGCCTGGTGACATTAATGAGTCACCAGCTTCACTACATCCCACAGCATCCCACCATCCCAAAGGGAAACCACATACCTATTAGCAGTTGCTTTGCAGTTTCCTCTTGTCTCGCCCAGAATCTGCCTGGGATGCACTCTTCACGTACACAGCCCTGCCCATGTGGTCCTTCCTTGCTATAACTGTTATAACATGAATCAGCACCATATCCCTTTCCTTAGTCAGATACAACTATTCTGTTGTATGCACAGGCTGCATTTTGTTTGCCCATTTCTCTTTCGATGGCTAGACATTTGGGTTGTCTCCCCCTGTTAGTGGATGTGCAGCTATGAACATATGCAGGCAAGATCTGCTCACATACTTGCTGTAAATTCTCTGGGACACATACTAAGGAATGGAATTGCTGGGCTATGTGAGGCCACTGCTGTGTTTGAAAATAGGGATGGTGCTGGGCGTGGTGGCCCATGCCTTTAGTCCCAGCAGAGGCAGGCAAATCTCTGTGAGTTCAAGGACAGCCTGGTCTACATAGTGAGTTCCAGGACAGCTGGGGCTACAGGGAGACCCTGTCTCAAAAATACCAAAAAAA